CATAAAAGTTTGATCTTTGACCAGCAATATTGCACATTGATTTATATATATCACGCAATTAATAAGAAGCTGTTTATAAGCTTTGAAGTACACGGCTGTTCGAACAGTTCTGATCTTTTGATAATAATTATAATAATAATGAAGGCACTAATTCGCTCACATCTTACAAAACTTAATATACTATTAAGAGAATATAACGATTTAAGACTTCTTTTTGGTTTCCTTAAGGTTCTTTTGGAATTTACAACTTGGCGCGCTGTAGATAATTCTTGTAGGTGACATCACGCCACCAATATGGACGCTCGTATACACCTGGCGTGGACACAATAGTTCGCTGCAAGTGCTGATATACCTGTTGATTAGAGAGAAAACGTTAGCGCAAAGACTTTATGCAAAAAAAAGCTCAGCTACATACATTGCCATCGCTCATGCCCAGCGGAGAGTTTAGAATGAAATCCGTGGGTGCGATAGCATCCACCAGAGCAATCGCTTCGTTCTTTAGCACGGGCAGCAGCTCTAGTATACCCTGCTGGTACAATTCAATGTGCGAGCTATTGCGGAAATAGCCACCTTGATAGAACAGAGCCGAGTATTTGGTGACCAGGTTGGCGCCATAGAATGACAACAACTTGAGCAGCACCTGCTGCTCGGCAGAGGCGGGCAGACTGTTTACAAACTTGTAGAACACATAGTAAATGGTGCGCTGTGGATATCAAAGGTATGTTAATTGCAACATTCATCAAACACGCTTAAATAATGTATCGCACCTCTGCATAGATAATGGAAAGTTGCTGAGCGGCGAAAACTTGAATGTTGTTGCGTGTCTCAAATGCGTCCTTGCCGGCGAACTGCAGCTGCTCCACACGCTTAACAGTTGCATCCAGCTGCCAGGCGGTTAGCCAGTTAAGAGCCTTCAGCAAATCTGCAGGAGGATAAAATGGGTAAATAATGCATCATTCTACTAAAAGTGTGCACTGAATAGTCACGCACTGTGCACGTCCAGAGCATGGGCGGCGTTATGCTCCTGCCCCTGGGTCTGCAGAATGACATTCATATCGTTGAGAAATGAGACTGTCTGCAAGGGCGAAACATCCACAAAGTTTGCATTGCTGCGCCGCAAACTAATTAGCCAATTGGATGCCTGCTGTATGAGTGTATTGTTTTCACCCTCATACGTGCAATTGGCATCATTGTCGTTCCTCAGATCGCCCAAGCCGGATGCCCGGAGATAGCCATGACCGCCACAAGCTTCACGACATTCCTGGATGCCATCACGAGCCGCCCAGGTGGCGCATGGTTTCATTGCTGACGAGATTGCATGTATTTCCATGCCCTCCTTGGACGTGTCCTCGCCCATCATGCCCCTGATGGTCATATCGACATTAGCCTTGCCAATCCAAAGCGTGGCCACACGCAAAGCTATTGTCGCGGCCAGATGTGGCATCAGGCGATATTGCTGCGATTGATACTCAATCACAGGCCATTCCAGCTGACTGTCGCTGGGTCCGAATTGCCGACGACTCGCCGAATACCGCGTGGCAATGCAAATGGCCTTGCTGAGCGCCACATATGTAATAGCTGTGATATTAACTCGACCCGTAGACAGAGCGCCTAGCGAGGCACCCAGGCGTTTGCGCTGATCCTTGATGGGGCTGCTGTAATTGCCTTGTGCATCAATGTCACCCGTCTTGGAAAGCAAATTCGCTTTGGGTATGCGATATTGATTGAACATCACGAATCTGTAAGTTTATATTTGTATAGATGAATATAAGTTAAGCAAGCAATTTGATTAGGTTAAAAAAAAAGGGTCACAAACTTCGTACAAAACAAATTACATCTTAGTTTTTAAAGTGTTCTTTCAGAATAATGTTGCGTTGACATTTAGGTAGAATTATATCATTCGATTTTATGGATTAACTAATAAGTAATCAATTGCTTTAGAGTCTGGCATTTCTCAGACATCTTGCAACACAATTTTATGTATACGCACCCATTGTCAATGCCATTGAGTCCAATTTTCTCGCCCAAGTCGCCAACGGTGACGCCCGGGAACGGCAACAGTGTACGCTCGTCGCGAATGGGCACCAGGAATGCATTCAAGCCCTGGTGCTTATCATCCGGCACGTACAGCTGTGCGTAGACAATCGCATGGGTGCAGGTCTTGCCCAGATTACCTACCCAGCACTTAGCTGCCTCAAAGTCTGGCGTGTGTATAACAAATTCCTGCGTTTTGACATCATAAGTAGCGCGGGTCCGCATGCCTGTTGTTAAGATAGGAGAATTAAAATAGGACACAGCATATAATATTCTATGACTACCATTTGCGTTCGTTCCATGAGAGATCTCAGTCAGGGCATAGGCGCCCAATATGCGATTATCGGATATTTTAGCCACATATTTGCCCAGACGTCCTGTCCCATTGGAGACCAAGGTGCTGGGGAACATGCCGTTGGAGAGCCCGAACTTGACAGAGAAGCTGAAATCATAACTGAATATTGCCTGTCCAAAGGCCAACAGCAAATGGGGCGAAGTAAGATACTAAAATGAAAGTTATAAATAAAGGTTAATAGCTGGCTGCCAACTGGGCTTTAATTAAAGTCAAACCCAACCTCATTGACATCGAAGAACTTCTGCTCCCAGAGTAAATGGTGGCGCTTGTTTGCCAGCTCCCTTGTACGCTCCAGATTGGGTGCTTCCGGTTCACGCTGATAATCTGGATGTTGCTCCATCCATTGCCATACTTTGTGCTGTATTGTTCGTATTTTTAATTTTATTAAGGTAAGTTTAGATTAGTGAACCTAACGATAAGATGACACAACCTAACTGCTATGCGAAGTGTTTGGGCAATCGAACACTCTTCAGATAAGAGGTTCCTAATCAATGGTACAGTGAAACCTGCCTAAAAAGATATTTTTCTCTATTCATTTATCTGACTCCAGCTGTTATTATTCAAATTCGTTCGGTGTTGTTTTTTAAACTTGACTGAGGGACACGTGTCTTTAAATATTTATTTAGAGAACATTTATACTTTCAAGAGTTCAAAATCCGTAAAACCGAATATCTTTAAAGTTATAAATAAATATACTTTAATGATTGTCCCAACTAATACAAGCTCTCGTACTTTGATCTTTAAACAATTAGTCAGGTTTTTTAACATAGGTCATTAGCTCTTGAGAGTATTCCAGTTGAAATGATAATTATGATTGGATGACAAGTTCTTTTCAAAACAAAACAAAATTCGTGTCACTTGAGCAAAGAGAAATTAAACTTTGGATCACTTGAACCTAACAGGTTCTTCTTTCGCGATTAAAGCGTACATTGAACTTTGTACCACGGCTGAACTTAATGTGCATGTAATTGAATATTACATTTAAACATGGAGTCGATTAATTGTTGAATTTCATATGGGAGTACTTTACCTTAAGACGTATGTGCTCCTCGCCCTCCAGCAGCACATTCATACGCTTGTAACAGAAGCTCGCCTTTTGGCGATATTCCTCCAAGGGACCGCTCCGAAAGTTGGGGAAAATCTTCTTGTCCTCGTATATGTTCTTTGGGTCGGCATTCTGCTTGTCGCTATAATAATCCACCAAAGATCTAAGTATATCGCTTAAGTGGTTTGCGGGCGAAAGGCTTTCGCTTTGTTCGTTGTCCATTGCGGACGCGAAAACAACTGAAACAATTAACAGTTGCATTCAATTACTCACTTGGTAATTTTAGGTGCAACCATGTTTGGAGCTGGCGCTTTTCCAGGCTGGTTTAGATGCGTTAACGGTCAGCGATACGCTTAAACTGTGTCAATATTCCACAAAGCTGCGCTATTTAGAATAGTTTAGGGGCGCTGCTGCGCTTATCCGTTGTTTTTAATTTTTACGATCATTAAACCGAAATAGCCGGCCTGTTTCCGTTGGCGACGAAGAATCGTTATTGCCGTCGCGTAGACCAAACGCTGGTTGTCCACTCAACCGTAACTGATAAGCGGCATGATAACACGTTTGTGTTGGCCAACTTTTTACATATATAAATTCCTTATATGCGTGATAAATGGCATTAGCCAAATTTTTATTTGCTGAATTTTTAGTTTTTGTCAAATTTCTTCTAGCCAATAAAAAAAAAAAGAAGCCGTTTGACCAGCAGCTGTTAGGTGCAGTGTTGTACAGCGTGCAAATATGGTGCTGTGCAACGGTCACACTGACAACGCACACAGCTCGTTAATTTGAATTGCAGCGAACACATAAATTTCAAATTGATTTCTCAACAGAACTTATAGTTTTTATAAATTGGCATAAAAATGACACAAATTAAGATTGACATACACATGTACTCGCATTTTTATTTCAACTTACACAATTAGGTAACATGCACGGCATTCGCTTGGCTATTTAAATAAAATTCTATATATTGTTTATATTGTTGATTATCATTAATATGCGCTTAACTTTAAATGTTTATCGCTAACTTCGTTTTGCAGCATTATTTTCGTAGTCTAAACGGAATTTTAATGATATTGTACTTATGATGATCTTTTATTAAAAAATTATAGCAATAGGCTAAAAATGTATATTTTTTCTTTTTACGTTTTAGACCCCGAATTAAACTAATTAGGTAACATGTAGTCATTGATTAGATATTTGTAAATCTCATAATTTTTGCTCTAGCGTCAAAGGCGCACAACGTGTGACATAATTTCGTTATTTTGTTGATACTATTATTAAAAGCCATATAAAATTAGCTGCGCTACAAATATTACGTTGCTTTTGTTGTTGATTTATAAGTGTGTGTTGTATTAAAGCATCTATAATTTATGTACTTGCTAAAATGGACTAATTGACGCTTTCAAATGAATGTGAAAAGTACGTGATATTTGAATCATCTGATACAACCGTATATATGTATGTAATAAGTCCTCATTCACAAATTTCGTTTTGGCTTCACATTGTTACAAATATATACATATATATATATGTATATATATATATATATATATATATGTATATTGATTGATATACTATAAAATAAACAGATAAATAGACAAAACAATTAAACGTCAAAATTGTGCTAATACGAAATACAATTAAAACCAAACTAAACTTTTTGCTAAATTAAACTAAACGAGATTGCAATTTTATGGGCCTAAAAAAATATATCCGGCGTGTCAAATAGATTCAAACTCTTCTCCATCAGTGTGCCCGACAATAGTCCCAAATCCACCTGCTCCTCCTGGACGCCCCGCGCGCCGGGCGACGTTGTTGCCCGAGAGTCAACGCCACTATGCGCATTCGGCTCATATCATCGACTCTGACAGGAGCTGGCCGCCGACGAGTTCGATGAGAATGCAGACTGCAAGCTGGTCATGGAGCCCTTGTAGTTAACCGAGCTAAGCACTTCGTAGAATATATTCAGCTGTGCACCGGATGGACTGAACCAGTGCATTAGATAGCTGTCATTGTGATGCATCACATGAGAGCCCTGGACGCTCTCTTTGTGTCGACAGATGAGCGTTGGTTCCTCTCTGAAAAAGTTGACACCTTCGACAAAGTCCTGAAGATCAAAATATGATACAGCCGAGTCTGTGCAAAAAGTAAAATTGTTTAATATAAATGAAAAACTAGTTTATTGATTTACGCACCATTCTTGTCGGGCAGCTCTTCGGTGACGCGATAGAGCGTGAAGTGCAAATCGTTGCGTAACACATCAAAGTCCCAGGTGAGCACACTCTTTGGATCCATGTTGCGTATGAGCAGTTCGTGAGTGAAGCCCGCCTTAAGCTCAACTGTCTTATAGAGATTTTTATGATCGTGCTGATGAGCGGCAGACAAACGCTTGCCCTCATTGGGAAGGTCAACAACGCAGGCGGAAGCGGCGCGTGAAGCAACGGGCGTTTCATCATCATGATCCTCCAAAGAGCTCATTTTATAAAGCGTCTTCGGCACAAGGCCGCCCTCGTGTATCATGGTCTGTTATAGAAAAAATGCGCAACATTTAGTGACAATCAAAGTGGGTTTGGTATATGCTTGGCTAAGCTTTGTTTTGTTCTCTCTTTTGGTTCATTCAAGGTACAAGGTACAAAAGTGTGCGAGTGCACACACAATTGAAGGACCGCACGGACGCTGGGCACAATGAAAGGATATGCAGAGCAGCAACAAAACGCAATTATAGTACATATTTATAGACTTGACATAGTTCGCAACACAAAGGACAGAGAAACAAAGTGAACAAAATATGACAAAATGTTTTTACAGACCAGTTTTGGTATAGACTAAAATGTTAAGCTAGTCGCCTTGAGGTCAATGTTGCCAATGCCAACAAGATATAAACACCAAAAGGAAACCGGGTTGTTTGTATTGCTATTTCCAGAACCTTTCGGTTCCATCATTAGCCGACTCTAGGTTTGCAAGCCCTTGTCCTCATTTCGATCAAAAAGGACAAGGCAAGGCAAAACCAAAGTCTGATTTCGATGTGTTTACTCCTGAGGCACAGACACAGTGAATACAATATGCATATATAACAACGAAAACATATATAAAACGGCACTCTATATATATATATATGTATGATGGAATAACGTGATTTGGCTAAGGAGAGTTTAGAAGCTGCTTACACAATCGCATTCAGCTAAATAACAATGCGTTAGATATTTTTTATTAATTGGTTCCACATGCGTTAAATGCGTCTAAACAGCGCCGAAAAGTTCAAAAGGGGTGGGATTGGATAAACAAAGTTACGAAAATAACAGTAAAATCATTATCATGTATATATATATACAAAAATAATTGTTAATCGTTATGTATACAAAGGTTAACAGACAATTTTTGACTAATATTCAATGAGGTCAGTTGCTGTAAATTACCTTGCAGGGCCCGCCCAGAAAATCGGGCACAATTTCCTCATCAATATACTGAGCGAGTCCGTCCTTCATGTGCTCACAGTCCGGGCCATAGAACAAGAACTTTGAGCGTGTGTGTTCGTCTATGAAAAATGTTGCGTATAAGAAATATTGTTGTCAACAATTGTTGTTGTGTTTTACAACTCACCAATGAAAGCGCTGACAATAGTCCAGGCGATGGGGAATACGCGCGGAGCACGCACCACCAAAACACGTCCCATTGTCTCCGGGTAATTGCGCTCCACGGTCTCGGTGATGTAGAGCAGAGCCTTGATGCCGGGCCGCCACAAATGACGCATGGAAAGACCCTCCAGATCGACCAAGAGCGACCAGTTGAGCACGGGCTTATCCAAGCGCTCGGCTGATTCATTAATCTTCTGTATGCCCTCCTCGCAAATGTGCAGAGCCTGTCAATTGAAAAAGCGAACATGAATAAGGACAATGTGCAAAGCCAATCGGCGGCCAACTCACCAATCTAAGCAAGTCCTCCATGCCTAGAGACTTGAGCAAGCCCTTCACATCCATGTGACCCAGACGCAGTATGTATATGGGCCGGCCATCCTTGTCGTGATGATGCCAGCCGCCGGGAAAATGATCAACCACAACGGCTGGCTTGTGGTACTCCTCGAGCAGTGAATCGATACGATGCTCGCGACGCCATTTGAGCGAATCACAGAGCATGGCATAGGCCTGGCTCACGTGCCAGTCGCGTGCTGACAAGAAACGCAAGATGGTCTGATAACTGGGCATGCGCTCCAGATCATCGACACCATCCAGCATTTTTCGCAGCTCCAGCAGCTTGGACTCCTGCATGGGCGATAATTGTCCCAAATTGCGTGCAATAAAATCTCCATCAAGGAGTATGTCATGATGCTGTTCTGTCGTTGGCGACTTGGGTGCATCCAATGGCGGCACCCAGCGCTCCACATGCGTGACGCCCTCCTCTTTGAGCTGGCTGATGAAATACTCAATTATCTCCTTGCCCTTGAGCGTCGTTTGTGTATACTGTTTCATGCCCATCTTCTCCATTGAGTGCTCGAAACCGAAAAAGTTCTTAATATCCAGCGTGGCCGTCTGATCAAAGCACGTCCAATCGGCATTGTCCGGATGGGCATAGTAGCGGCAACGCTCGAAGATTTCAATGCGCGACGAGAAGCTCTCGTTGACCGCCTCGATGCTCAGCGTGCGATTGGACATGTCCAAAAAGTTGTGCTGCAGAAAGTACACAAAGTCGACGCCAATCAATTTCTTAAAGATATACGGCGCATCGACGGCCAGCTTGCAGCGTCGACTTGTATTCCGCTTGGCGCCATTCTCCAGGCACTCGTCCTTGATGATTTCGCAGTCCAGGACAATGGGCATTTGGGGGCATTTCGGAAAGCGACGCTCGTAGGCCTAATAATGATAAATGGCACATGTAAATGATATGCTCTATTGTCGGCTGGCTGCCAATGGGCTCTTGCCCTTGAACAGGGGCCAATTTATGACACGTATGCAAATGTACATGAACTTGGCCTGGGGCCACAGACTGTACAGATATCGATATAATTATATATATATGTGTGTGTGTATAAATCTATAAATATATATGCCTGTATGCCAAATATTTGCAAAATTAGTGCCAAGTTATAAAACAGCTGCCTGTTTATTTACCCTTTGTATACCCTGGTGGAGGGTTTTATAATTTTGTCGCGAAATTGGCAACGCACAGCGGGCGAGTTCTTCGACCCAACTAAGTATATTTATATATATATATATATATATATATTTTTTTATTAGCATGAACAGCTGAGTCGGGTTTCTATACAAATTTGGATTGCAGCTCTCATCGTGACCGCACAGAACTAAATTAAAATTTGTTGTGGGTTTTTTCATAAAGGGCATTAAATAAAGCATTTCACGTAAATAGCTTTGAAAGCGTTGAAGATATCTTTTTATTGATATTGCACAGCGATTTGAGCTAAACAAATCTCGCTTCTTTATGGTTCTTGCTTAATGCTAGAACCTCATTACCTAGCCAATGGGGGCGTAAACAAACAAATGCGGCGCATTCCAGATATTTGTGGCAACAATTTATCTGCATATATGTGTGTGAGCCTATTCGATACGTTAACGAATTATGCATCATGTATTTAAACGCAATATTTTATTCTTCTTTTTTCTTTTTCTTTTTAATTTCTTAAATTCCAAGGTCACGGAAGCCGTGTCCTTTGGGGCCGTGAGCGTCAAACCGCTGACATTCTAGAGGGTCACACGCCAAAGGATAATTAAGTCGGCCGTATAAATATTTGAAAAGTTCAAGGCATACACACGAAGACGTGCCTGGCACGTGTTGCCTGGGAAAAACTGGAAGAGAAACCAACTTGTTGTCGTGCAATAGTCCAACGCTCAATTATTTAGCGGCCGGAGCGTGTGAAAAGCCACATGAGCTAAACTAAAACCAAACTGAGTTTTCAGTTCCAGTCACACAATAATAATTGATGCGCCGCCAGCAGCCCGGCACGTTCGCAGATTTATAGAGTATTTGGACAGTTATTAATGCTTTTCGCTACAGTCGAAATGTGCTAATTGCACATCAGAAAGTTTGCTATATTTGCCAGCTAACCGAATTGTTGTTAACATGGAGAGTGTGCAAAATGCACAACTGTTCCACGTGACGTATGCGTAATAATAATACTTTTGACTGCCGCGTTGACGGCTTGAAGATTGATGCCAAATGAAAATTGATGGCCATGAGCATTGCACTTACCCTACTTCTTCTACTGCCTCCATGCTGTTACGTCAATAACAAACAACAACAAAATTATATGTGTATATAAATAGGTAAAAAAAACAATCTCACAATTGCCATATTGTGTCGAGTTGTGGCTAAAAATAGTTGACATTTACGACAGGTCTTTCGAATGCATCAATACGTTTATCTGTGGGCGTTTTAAAGCCATTTTTGAATCGTTTTATTCGCGCTTCTTGTTTATCAGTTTAGTTAATTATTTGCTTAATTTATCAAGAAACACAAATAATATTGTTTATTGACAAAACGCGGATTTGGTAGCAAGCAGTAAATGGTTTAGCTAAATGGAAAAATCATGACATCTGGGAAATTGGAATTTAATTCGATAATAAATATTGGATTATGTTTGAAAGATGAAAAAATTGCGCTTTTCTAGATAAGCAGCTGTTCCACATTAAAAGTATATTATACTTTATGCAACCTTTGGCCAGGAAATGATAATTTTTTGGCCATGGGCTAGCCCAGAGTTATTGATAAGAGCTCGCTGCCCATAATTTAATAATGAATGAAAATGAATAATTTTGTATACCCTGAACCCATTAAAAATGGGTATAAAGGAATATTGTATTTGTGCAAAATCCAAATGTATGTAACAGGCAAAAGAAAGCATCTCCGACCCCATAAAGTATATATATTCTTGATCAGCATCAATAGCCGAGTCAATCTAGCCATGTCCGTCTGTCTGTCCGTCCGTCCGTACGTCTGTCCGTTTGTCCGTCCGTCCGTATGTATGAACGCAAGGAACTCAGAACCTATAAGAGCTAGAGAAATGTTAGATGTAAGTGCTCCTAGTTCCCGCGCAGATCGAGTTTGTTTCCGATAATCGATAACTTACTCCGTTTCTAAGCGATCGATAAAAATCGATATCGATATCTTGTTTTTTGGACAATTTTGGTAAATAATAAGATGACTCTAGCTCTTGACTCTCCAAACTTGACATATAGCTTGGAAAATAGAATATATATATGCATTTGATGTTGGAAGAAGAGGGTTCAGGGTATGCCCTAGTCGGGAGCTCCCGACTAGAACCTCTTTTTTTTACTGTGTTTACCCCCCAATAATTTCCGCTACATGATTTTGGTGCGTCCGCTTTAGTCAAATTCATTAGTTATTATCTTATTTAAGTTTTACTATCGCATAGTCAGTACCTTTAACTACAACTACAAACTAAACTTTCTATCTGTAGTCCGAATAGACAACGTGCCGAGCCGAAAACGTGACCATTTCGCCCGAAGGCTGATAACGTGTCTGGTATAAAGCGATTATTTTTACTGTTAAGCCAATTAGTTTGTCTTACTGTAGGTAACAACAAAAAAAAAAAAACAAAAACAAAAACTGCGCAATGAGATTTCAGTTTTTTTATTTTTATTCTAGAGTCAATGACTTTTGCCTTGGTGGCCTTTGTTGCACCCAACATTGAATGCAAAGTGCTGCAAAGTGATAATAAATAAATTTGTTTGTCTGCCGCGCAACACTCAATTAATGCGCCATTTGCCGGCACAATAAATTATGCTAAACTTAATTAAATATGCGGCCCAACTGCGCTCTGGTTACAGCGATAAGACAAACACGTTAGCTGGTCGTTTATCGACAACAACAACAACAAAAACAAGAACAATAAAAACGAGAGCCAATTAGTTAATAGAGCTGATATGGTGCGGGGTGATCCATCGATATGTTATCAGCTAGAATGCTCTATTTACCCTGCCAGAGAGTATTATGATTTTTTTTGCCATTAGAGATAACAGGTGGAAATTTTAGGAAGTTTGTTGCCATTGGAGATAGCATGTGACGGAATAGAAATATAGTCAAATATATATTTTTTTACTGTACTTCAGCAACAAACTAAATACACTGTACAAAATTGTGGTTCCATTGTCAAAACATTTATGAAAGTATATTCAAGTCAAGTATTTTCAGTCAAAATATGTGCGAAATTAGAAATAATAATAAAAACAAATTGAGTATATTCCAAAACAGAATTGGACTAAAAAACTATATCAATATCTATTGCAGTGTAGTTCAGTTAAGAAGTTAAGCTGTGCGCGGGCTGAGAGCGGTAATACCTCAGTGGCAAGGCGTCCGCTTGGAAAATGGGAAAACCCCGGTTCGTTTCCGGCAGCAGATATGCCAAATTTTATTTATATTGAGTTCAAAATAAAATGTTATCAGATCGAAGCTGTAGTCCCGTTACGCCTGTTGCTATCAGCAAGAGTATTAAATCTTCGGCATGCCTAAGATACATAAATGTTCAAATTTGCTGATTTTTGTTTTTATTATTTGTGAAGTGTTATGTGTCTCATTTCGTTGATTGTCGTATATTGTGTACAATGGGCCCATAATCGCTTATTTCCTGCCTATCTCTGTTTGAGTCGGATCTGGAATGCAAAAACACGAACTGGGCAGCTGACCGCCTTCCCTTTAGCCCCCTCCCCGCGCGCTAGAAGCATGGCGTTCCATTCATGAAATTACATACGCGAGTTATTCAATTGAGCAAATGAGAGAAGCGGCGGAGCGAGGCAGCAAGAGAGAGAGAGGGAGAGAGAGAGCGCCAAGGTTAATTTTATTTATCCGCTGCATGCGATGCGCAACGGCAAATGACAGCTTAAAGAAGAAAAGGTAAACGCAGGCGGAAGGAGTGCAGCAGCTGGATGAAAGATGGTTGAGCAAAATGCAGACCAAACAACGACAGCTGCTGCGTCTAATTAATAACTTGTAAGCAAATTGCTTTTATATAAAATGAGTTGACATGCACGCTTCTGGCGCATGAACACCAACGCACGCACACACACACACACCAACACACATGCACACGCACATACAAAGGCACAGGCACACTCACGGCGTGTGGGCGGTGTATATGACACGCCTACTGCAAATAAGATACACACCTTCATAACGAGCTCAAAGGGATATTTGTAGACGCGTACGGGCGATTGGAATTTTTGCACCATTTTGTTGCTGTTGCTGGTTTATCTCTGGTTGTTGTTGTTTTTGTTGTTGTTGGCACTTGACACTGGTTAAAAATCAATTTTTCTTTTCTCTTCTATTGCACTTTATTCTGCACACATACGCGCCAAAATGCGCTTTTTATTTGCACTCAAATTTTGAGCAATTTTGTATTTTAGTTGTTTGTAACAGTTAAGACAGTTTAAAAATGTGTGCTTATTTCGTTGAAGTGTCGAATAAAATTTGTTTTGCTTCTCTGCAGCCCCAGCGCTCGTTGTTGTGCTTGCAACTGCTGCAGCTGGCTGAAAAGAAAGTCTTTCCTTTTTTGTGTACACTCCGCGAATGCTTGACTGTTTTGTTAGCGAAGTAACATATATATACATAAGTATTATCGATATATCGATTAACAGTACTAGTTTACTATTATATCAAATATCGATATGTTGGGCGATGAATTCTGTTAAGGTTCAAATATTACTGTTAGTGGAACAGCAGTTCTGAGGTGTTTTCTTCGTTTTATATTTAAAAACAAAGTAGACTTTCACTCAAATTACAACTTTTCATAAGCAATACATTTAAATTGTTTTTTTTTTTTATGAGCATTATGGATACAAACAGACGACTATGCAACAAGCGCGTCTGTCTCACATACATTTTTACATTTTCACTACTTGTCCTCTTTTTCTACCATTTAATGTGGAATAACAGAAAGAGTATTGTCGGTCTTACACGGCTGCAAGAGGATGTTAACTGTATAACGGTAATTATTAAACTAACGGCTTTTTAAATAAGAAATACTGTAAATGGTTTCATTTTTGACCTTACAGCAAGCGCTAAAAGTGGATTGCGCTGGACAGAAATATAGCAACCTGCCTTGCGGAAAAACTAACTGCCTCGCCCGTGATTCTCAGAAATCAATAGGATGTAATACACGAGAATTGAATGCTTGTGTGGATACGCTGGTTAAGCGCAAGCTTGGTAATATAATGGACGATGTATATAGCCTAAAGAAAAAAGTTATGGAAAGGGGGTGTAATGTGAAGGGAAATAGGGCCCCAGTTCCCAACACGGAGGCATTGATTTTGGCGCCAACTCGTATAAACTACGCTTCAGAGGAGCTGGGTGCACGCATAATATATGCAATAGCAAAGCCAATTGGCGAAAGCAGCTTTATTAAGAATCTTCTCGGCCTTGAATTTAGTGCCAACCCGCCAATAAATATGTTGCGCCCGAGTATATTACCAGGATCCTGCTTCGGCTTTCGTGGCACTGAGGCTACGGTGTCGCTGCACTTGGCCAAAGTTATATTCGTGGATGAAATAAGTCTGTCGCATGTGGCCAAGGAGATGACTCCCAGTGCATCTGTGGATAATGCGCCAAAAGATTTTGAAGTATATGTAAGTTCTCAACTTTATATTGAAGATTGCAATCCAAACACATTTTTTTGTTCTAGGGTTTACCTCCAGATAGCAACAAGAAAGAGCTGTTAGGTCAGTGGGTGTACGAAAATGATCTGAAGAAACGTACACAGAATTATGTTGTCAAAAATAAGCGAATCTTTTGCACATTGGTATTTGTATTTAGGTCAAATCATGGCGGAAATTCCACCTGCGTCTATCGGTAATTACCTGTATTTCATTAAGATTAAGTTAAATAATTTTCTGTACGCAGCGTGGAAGTGTACGGCCGAGTTCCATAGAGCATATGTTAATTAACGTTAATAATTATGAATGTTGAGTTCAAGTTTTATCAGAAACCTCGGTTTTAACACAAGTTTTAGTTATCAAATTGCTTAGAGTTCAAATTGTTATTGTAATTGTGATATTTTTTTTTTTATAAAACTTCACAACAGATTAATCAAAATATATTCAGTGACACACACATTTATATGTTTCGATATAATATTGTGACTACAAAACTGTGACTCGCCCCATGCGAATACTTTCGATAGGTAACGGGTACATGGGTACACATTTAACTATCGCCCATCTTCAGGGTGTAGGCTTAAAGTTAGACATGAGCGATAACAATTATCGTTTTGGTTTTGGCAAAGATAAAATTGAAATAAATAAGTTAAAACACGATGGCCTGTGGCGATTGAATCTAAATAACAATAACAATCTTGTGGCGTGCAACTCAACGCATAATTACAGCAGCACCGATGGCGAGGAGCAGGCAAAGCTGCAAAGGACTATGGCAAAAACGAAACAGAAACAGACAACAGCAGCAGCTGCCACAGCAACAACAACAGCAACAGCAACAACAATGCCAATACCAACAGCTACAACAACACCAACAGCGGCGGCGGCGGCAGCGGCAGCAACAACGATAGGCGCTTTTGCTGTGACGCCCACTTGTGTCGCACACATCGAGGACGAGGGCGGAGGAGGATGCGTCGGCGCTGCAGCGGATGCCGATGACGGCGACTGCGCTGCTGCTGCAGCTGGCGCAGGCCTAGACACCAGTGATAAGGCAAGTGTTTTTTCTTTTTTTTTAATTTTTTTTATTTGTGTACATATATTCACGTTCTGTTCATTGTTAAAATGCAATTTTCGCTGCAGCTGAACGGCATCGGCATAGGTGCTGCCTACACGCTGACTGCGCTGCCCGAACTCGATTGTGACTTGGCTGCTGCAGCGGCTGCAGCTGCCTCCGCACTCTCGCCCACCGATGCGGCCATTGGCGGCCTCAGCTCCAGTCGCACCTCCACTGAGAACCTGAGCTATGCCAGCGACAATTACTATGCCGACGATCTCATATTGCTGGACGACGATGAGGACGACGTGGAGGCCGAGGAGATATCGCTCAACTCGGATGACTGCGTCTATGCGTATCGCGGTGATGCCGCTGACTTCGACATGGCGGCGCTGGATGCCAGCACTGGCCGTGGCGGACGCAATTTGGAATTTGGTCTGGTGCGTGATGATGAGACCGATTTTCTTGAAATGGATTTCGAGCCGGATCCATCTTCGGAGCTGGAGTTTGCGGCCAATGCACAGGAGGCAGCTGCAGCAGCGGCTGCAGGCCATGCCAATCTGCTGCTCATGCAGCGCGATTATAGTCAGCTACAGAGCGGTCGGCACATGGTGACGCCCACCCAGCCGCGCCAGCTATACAGTTCACCAATTGAGGAGCTATCATTGCCGCCGCCACAGGAGGCACTGCAGCGCTTGAGCAAGAAATTCGCCCGCATAAGCCTCAATCTGGATCAGATCAAGGCCGATGCGGACGCTGGCTCCGATGGGGATGCGGATGAGCTACTCTGCGGCAGCAAGGATGATGAGGATTTTGTGGATGCGACCGCTAAAACAGAGGCAAATACGTTGGCACACTCTCTGCCCAGCACACTCGTCTACAGCAACTTCAGTCGCAGCACTAGCGTGCCCAGCGAGCATACCCATGCAGCTGAGGAGACTTCGTGCAACTCCAAGTTGACGGGTGCCAAGCCCAAGCGTCTAAGCACGCTCTCCAACTCCTCATCTTTAGTGTCGGCCTCGAAAAGCTGCGCTTCCTCTTCAAAGTCGCGCCGCTCGCAGCCCAGCTATGATGAGCGATGCTATAGCTGCACAGATTTTCGTGCCGTCTCCGCCCAGCAACAACAGCAGCAGCAGCAACAGGATGTGGCGCCCATGCTGGTGGCAGCGGCGGCCGTCGTCGCGGCCAGCGCGGCCATGGCCAGCAATTCGACAAAATTTGATTTGGGCAGCGGCGAGGAAACCTGCCTCGACTGCCTGGAGAAGGAGTTTTTGGCCAATACCATTGGCAAGGCCCTCGATCTGAGCAGCTGCGCCAAGTGCCGGCGACGCGGCGGCGGACGTGGCAGCAGTCTCTCGCTCTATACACGCGCCGAGCAGACGCGCTGTCGCAGCGGCTCCCCGGGCTATTTGGATGAATTTGGCGGCCTTTTCAGCTGGCACAATACGGCCGGCGACATGGGTCATTACAACCAAAGGTTTATTTCGTGTGATAATAATTTCGGCGGCATGCAGGTGAGTAAACCAAGGGCTTTCAATTATAACAATTTTAGATGCATTTTCTAAATTAAGCTCAATGCTTTAACAATGGGCATTCCAGCAAGCTAAAGCCAGGTTTGACAAGTATTAATGTTCGGCCTTAAAACCGACAACTTGATAACCTTACCCAATAATATGTCTATATTTTCGATGAAATGCAGCAGTTGTTCTGATAAACCTTCTATACAATAACTTGTTTTTCTTGTGGCTAATTGGAACAGCTGCTCAAGCAAAGCTTTTCGACTGAACCGCTGGTGGCGCGCCTGTCCACGGCGCATCTGAGTGAGGAGCATCTGGTGCAGGCGCTGGACAAACTTCACATTTCCTACAACGCACCTCTGTTGCATGCCTACTTTGAGCAGCCGCCCCAGGACATCACCGGTGGCAACCTGAAGCAGCTGCTGTTGCATGCCTCCAAGCAGCAGTGCAACCATCGCAAGCTCAAGAAGCTGATCGAACTCGTCACGCAGCAGCAGCCGCATCAACAGCAGCTGAATGTCCAATTCAAGCGGGTAAAACCTATTTACACAACTCCAGTAAGGGTATACAATTGTTAAACTAACTATCTTGCAGGCTAACACTGGCCACGTGGCACTGGTCGCAGTCAAGGTGACTGATATTTTGGCTGCCTGGCAACGGCATCGGGATCTCTATGTGCTGCGGCAATTGGATGCGCGCTTTCATCGCGCCAATGTGCTGGGTGAGCCTTAACCAAACAGCGCCCTTCATTTCATTTAACCAACTATATTTTCAGGCAAAATTGGACACATTGTGCGTCAGGCACAACAGCAGCAGCAGCAGCCGGCGGTAGCAGCAACCACATCTGCATCGGCTGCGGCATCTACTTCAATCTCATCCATGCGACTCGCGCTGCCCGAATTCATAATGATACCACAGTATTATGCTTGTGGAGAATTGACATTGACGCGCAAATGTTAGGAGCCGCCACACACAACACACACACACACCACATCAAAGGTTTATGCGTAGCTGCGTTTTGTTAAATTTCAAATTGAGATTCCCTAAATGCAACGCTGCACGTGATGTAGGTCTGTTCTGGTTTTTGTTTCAGGCAAAAACTGTTTAAACTGATGACATGAGCTAATTCCAACATAATTGAATATTTTATGTATATTCATTGTTATTTTTTTAATACTTAGCGCATGATATTAGCTAGCTGTTAGGCACATAGAATCATATCATCATTTTGTTCCATTTTATGTAACTGCAAAGTTATTAATTTTTTTTTTATATATATGCCATGGTAACACATGTGTTTTGAAGCACAACATAATATTAGATAGCTGTTAGCTGTTAGAATTGATCCTTTTGTTTTTTATATATGCCAACAAATGATCGAATTTGAATGTATTACTTTTGAAAATCTTTCCAATACCTTTATCTAGTCCTGAACACAAAAAATCTATATGAATTAAGTTTGTTTATACTCGAAACAAGAGCTTATAATCTTTTAATTTAGAGAGCAATTGTCGTCAGTTTAAAAAGTTATAAATTCCAAATTGAGAACATTTGTGGATATTCATCTAAATGTGATCAATTTTGAGAAATTATAGAATTGGAATGAAAAACCCGAACAGACCGGATTTTGTTGTAATTGCATTTGAATGCCAGTGCTGCCTATTTAGAGAACAAAATAAGGAATTTACGATTTCACGATTTGGCAGCCACGTGTAAACACAAGCAATAATTGTAACTACTGCTCGTTGGGGGAGGGGATGGCGGCGTCTTGTTAGAAAAAGTTAAGCGCGTATTTATGTATGTGTTATAGCGTTAATCATAATAACCGTTAATCGATTTGCAATATTTATATATAATACCAACAAACATGTGTGTACATGTCACGCCCACTAACGTATATCGCAATATATATGCATACATATATATACATATAATCGAATATACATAGGTATATCGTATATATAGCTTAGCTTGTATACTAATTACAAAATAAACTGTAAGTAGCCAAGTAAACTTCCACAAACACATACATGCGTTTATACGATGCACTAATCGTGATTATCAAGTTGATTGTAATATAATCAAATGATTTAAATGCGCGCACTTGGAGCATTCCGGGAATAATAACACACTCCTTTTCGAATTTACTGTAATCAGCTTTAATTACAATTAGTTGCACGTATAAACATTGTCACACACACACACACACATACTCTACATTTCATATTGAAGACGCAGCTCAGCCTCGACTCCTCGGATCCCAGTTCAATCTACACCCGCCCCTTCTCAAAAAACAAAAAAAAAAATACGCAACACGGTGAGAAATAATGTTTTGTTTTAATAAAATTACGCTTTATTAATATTATTTATTATTCATGTGCTCATCTCCCTAACTTTAACGCGACAAGTGATTTCTACAAAAAGTTTTAGGCGTGACATTTATTGGTACCGCTGCTGCTGCTGTTGTTGGCGTCCAGCATTGTAGTAGCCAGTTGGACCGCCACCAGCCGATCCGGGCCCCATGTTGGGCGGCATGGGCGGGGGCGGTGCCGCTGTTGTATAGTGTGTCGGCGGTGGCGGCTGCTGCGTCCAGGCATTGGCCGCGTACGGCGGCATGGGCACAACGGGCGGCGGCGGCGGCGGAGGTGCATGGTACATATGATAGTTGGCAGCATTGCTGTTCAGATTGCTGGGTGGTGGCAGTGGTGCGCCGCCGACTGTGCTCGGTGTGGGCAGCGGCAGGCCATCGCTGGGCGGCGGTATGGAGACAACGGCAACGGGCACCGCTTGCGCCAGCGATTTGATGGTCTGTATATTGTTCAGTTCAGCGTTGATGCCAATGATGCCGCCATTGCCACTGGGCTGGACTGTTGCCGATGGACAATCGCCGCTGGCCAAAGATTTGACATTCGTTGTTGTGGGACTGTCGGCACGACTAGGCGGCTTTTGGGGCGGACTGTTTGGCTCCTGGCCTTCCTTTTGCGTTGACTGATACAGATCCAACACCTGATGGCATATATCCTCCAGTATCTCCATGGTCACGTTCGAGACAAACATATCCCACCAGCGCTGATGCTGCGGTTGTCTGCCCAGCCAGTCCAGCACGGTGAACTTGCTCAGCTTGCTGGCCAAATGTATGAGAGCAACGGCTATGATTTCCGGCTCCCATTGAAGGCAGACGACCGTGCTGAGCGAATCGTTGACAAAATTCCACGCCATTTGGACCATTTTCTGCAGCTTCGGCTGATCGCCCTTGAAGCATTTCGCATACTTGAGCAGAAACGTATATGGATGCTCCACCTGCAGATCAAATTTGATCGTCTGCAACAGTATGCGCTCCAGTGTCATTACCTCCTCCTTGGGATCATCGCCGAACGAGTAGAAATAATTGTCATTGAGTATGCCGCGTGCCGTTTTGATGATGTCGCGACACTTTTTGGGCGTCTCCTCCACCTTGCCGGCGAGAAACAAGCAACAGCAGGCGGTAACGTAGCGTGGAAAACTCTTGAACGAGTGAAACATGTAGAAGCGATGAAAGTACACAACTCCGGTGGCCATTGTATTGTGGCCGAGGCCCATTTTGGTGCCGCATTCCATGATGAACCTGGCGCCCTCTTTGCGGTAGCGACGCTCTGTTTCATATGTAACGCCATCCAGTATTGAGGGTGTCTCACGTAGCTCCTTTTTGTCATAGTACCAGCAAGGCATCTTTTTCCGGGCCTACAGTGTTTTTATTTTTATTTTTTTTATTTTTTTGGTTGTTCACAATAACAAAAAATCAACCAAAATTAGTGCTTTTCATGTGTCATTTTTTAGGGCGTTTACTCAATATCTAATTGTGAGAACTGCATTTTTTACCACATGTGGCAACGCCATATGAAAAGAACCAGCTGTTGCGACTGGCAGTGTGACCACATTTACGTATTTATCGCGCAATTAGTTTGTGTCTTTTGTTTCCATTTAAAAAAAAAAAAGAAAAAATGTTTTATGGTGTAGTTTGCTTTCTTCTTGGCTTCAAATGCCAAGCAAATTGGCAAAGAACTGCCAAGAAATCAGCGTATCAAGGTATGTTTGTGTTGACATTGATTAACCACTCAATATTTGCTTGAATTGCCGCTGTTATTTCAGGCTTGGGGTAAGTTGACTTTCCACAACTTTATTGCCGGCGCCGCCGCCGCCAGCCACAAATGGCACAACGCATACCTGTTGCCGGTCCATGGCCGCAGTTTGGCCAATTAGCCGCAATGCCTTGGCTTAGTTGAGGTAACTATTTATAACCAGCCTTTCCAGTTGTCGTTAGCTTAATATGCGCTTTTCATTGTGCTGCACAGACTTCAAGTAATGCGGTCAACGTGTCCGTCTAACAGGAATTCGGTTATGTGCCGATTGCTCCCACTTCTGGGCCTTACAAGTTTCCGTCATATATGCCGCCCACGATTTTGTCGCTTTGGGCAACTTTTTGTGCCCATTGTATTTTGCATAAGTGCTGCCAAGTGCCGCTTAAAATAGTTGAAAAATAGCTAAAAATAGCTGGAATTAGCTTTTCTGATTTGGCAATAAAAAGTGTCGCTAGTACACTTAACCAACTAAAAATAGGCTAATGTAGCCAGAAAATAGCTGAGTAGCTCGGCAACACTGTTTTGCATAACAGCTGCATTGCAAAATGCCAAAACTGGTTTGCATTTCGCTCGAGGAAGTGTTGAGAACCAACAATGGCTCGCCCTGGGGAGCCCAGACAAGTCCAGCAGCTATGCGACTAGATTTATTTATAGTCCGTCTGTCCGTTCTAGCATTGCTTTTTGTATCACATTTCATAAACAATTTGTATGCACTGTTGCAGTTGCGTCTGCATTTTTTGTTTGTTTTAGTGCTTGCCTGCTGTCTTGGATGTTATTAACCTTGCTTGGTGCTTCTTGGAGCCTGCTGCCTCCTTGGGAGCTTCCAGACAGGTTCCAAGTTAATCAAATAGAATTGTGCCGGTCCGAGCAGCATAACCAGTTTCTATAATTCTTTAGCTTTTACTTTGTACGATCGCACGCTCTCGGCCAGCTCGCTCTCGCTCTCTCCTCCTCCTCTCTCTCTCTTTGTCTACCTGCTTGCCGCGTACACCTTTGGGCCGTTTAAGACACGTTTGCAGCTTCGCTGCGCTTGCCGCTGCTCGGCGCTTTTCAGTCACTTTTGAAACGTCGTCAGCGTCGCCAGTTACCAAGCGGATCGCGCCAGCTGGCAACAACAACAACAACAGTCCGTCCAGTTGATTTTGTAGTTGTAGTTTTATTTTTTGTTGTATCTTAATGCGCGTTCGTTGCGGACTGCGGATTCGCAAAAAAAAAAGAGTCATAAGAAGAAGAAATAATAATAATAGAAGTGGCTGCGAGTGCTAAACACAACAAAAAGAAGTGCTTGCCTAGGCAGAAAAAGTTTTTCAATAATACAATAAAGCCATAAAGCAATATTGAAATAAAAGAAAAGAAAAGAAATGCTACAAAAAAGTTAAAAAGTAACCACAAGCTACGTATTGCGCGCGCCATCTCGCTCTCTCTCTCTCTCTCTCGCTCTCGCTCTGTCTCTCCAACTCCCTTAGTCTATCTCGCTCTCTGCATACGCGTACTCCCACCTTCCCCCCCCCAAGCTTGGCTCTACTGCATGCATTCCTTGGAATCATTCTATGTGGATTATCGTTACGAGTCAGAAAGAATTAAGAAACAACAACAACGTTGCGTTATTTGGAATATTTTTTACGTTATACCTCAGTCTATAACGCTAAATAAGTAAGTTTTTAAAATCGTAACATTGATCTTAAATTTATAATTTTAATAAAAATTATTTTTTGTAAGTCGGTTAAACTTAGTGGTCCGATTTGGCCCCAGCCCCAAAGTTTCCTGTTTATACTTAGCTTTATACACTTGTCTGTTGATACTGATCAAGCATATATATACTCTATCGGATCGGATCGGATATATCTCCTTCTATGCGTTGCCCTTTTCATAGTAACAACTCCTCTTTAGTGTTTCTTCCCTTATTGAAACTTTCCTGAATTGTTGCAATTGTTCTATATTTGTTTATAAATATAGTAAAAATTTGTAAAAGCTTAGCTTATCTATATTATAGATGATTTATTATTGCATAATTATATTATTGATATATGCGATATATTACAAAGCAGATGATTCAGTTCTGATCGGGCCAATAAGCTAACCCACACGCTTGCATTGGAAATTAGCGTTAATGCAGCTTTGTTTGTGATTTATCAGCGACGCTCGCATTTCACTACAAAATTCATCGTCGTCGTCGTCGTCGTCGTCATTGTTGTTGTTGTTGTTGTTGTTGTTGTTGCTGTCTTTCAATTAAGTGTTAAGTGTTTGGCGATTAGATCATCCGCGGGGCGCGTCAAGCCGCTTAGCCAAGCTAATGAGTGTTTTGGCCAAGGCCGTCTAGAGAGCCTGAGAGCGCCGCGAGTTGATTGAACCTGCCACACAGCATCCAGCCATGTGGCAAGTTGCAGGCAGCCGTTTCCCTAATTATAATGAAAAGGGTAGCAAAACGAACAATACGAACACCCTGTTGCTACAGTGCACGCCATAATTATAGACACTCGACTGCATTTTCGTTCGTTAATGATGTTTTTATTTAACTTCTCAAATGTGAAGAAAATTCAATGCTGTGATTCATCTCAGTTATTGGGAAAAACTCAGAAGATAATATAATGTATGCAACTATGACAAATCTTTGCCAATGCTTATACGAAATTAGTCAACTTATTTCGTGAGCCAAAACTCATGGCTAATTATAGGCAGGGCTTAAAATTACTGCCATGGCATAATTATATAATATAATAGTTCAGTTTGCAGTTTCTTAAGAGCTATTTACGTATAGATATTTTCAATATGGATTGGATTGTGCTTTCAAAATTTGAATA